CAGTGAGAGGCCCGCGTACCAAAAAAAAAAAAAAAAAAAAATGTCACTGGATTTCTCTGAGTGGTAGATGTTTTCTACCTTTTGCTTAGGGTTAGGCACTTAGTTGGCATTTGTGGAGCCATACTGCCATCAAGCAGAGATTGTTTCTGTCAAAGCCAGTTACCAGGTCTCAAGGGATGGAGACAGCCACAGGGCTGGAAGGAACTGGCCCCATGGGGACTGCAGGGGGTTGGGGGGGGTTGGTTGTTTCGTCCTGAGGGTGCACCTGAGCAATAGGCTCCTGGCCGTAAAGTGTGTGTGTGTGTGTGTGTGTGTGTGTGTGTGTGTGAAGAAGATGCTATATTTAGTCCAACAAACAGCAGACTTCATGGTTTAAATGGCATTTGAGATGCTTTTTGAAGATCACTGATTTTGGCAGGCAGCAGCAGCATGGGGAAGAGGTGTTTCTGTTGGTGGGGGATAGGGCCAGGGCATGTTTGTAAAGAAGTTGGGCTGGAGATAGTGTAAATGTAGGGAATAGGGGCAGATGAAACCAGAGGTTAGCACTGGGGTTAGGTACTTTTTGCAAGTGAACAGACATGTCCATATTGACTTAAGTAATGGAGGGTTTCTAGTAAGGATAGACACACAGAGGAACCCAGAAAAAGCTGACCAACCAACCAGGCCTCAGAAAGAGGGGGACTCTGAAGAGTGGCCCTGGATCAAAGGAGGCTCTAGGAACCTAGAAGCCAGGAGGGTGGCCCTTCAATTAAGGGCTCCATCTTTAACATGATTCAGCTGCTCACTGCACACCTGCTTCATTCTATACCTCCCCAGCTGGCATCTTCTTTCCCTCTGCTCTGTAGGTTGCACTTGGCCTCTTCTCCATCTAACAGCGTTCTTCCAAGTTCAGCTCCCACTGCTAATGGCCTCATTCAAGAGAATGAGATCATCATCCCAATATCAGGAATTGAACTATAATTGAATTGTACCTCTTTATAAAGTAACAAGACTGACACCGGGAAAGCAATTGGCCCAGCTCAGTGTTTGGTACCAGTTAGGCAACATCTTAGAGGCTGGTGGCCCTTGGGAGAGATCCTGTGTATACTGACGATGGGGAAGGAGCTGCAGACAGGAGTACAGCCATGTGGGACAAACCATGGCTGCCTAAAGGCTTGCCCCTTCAGCAAGGAGCAGTGGCAGGGGTATTTCTACCTAACAAAGGTCTGTGGTATATTGGGAAATGCCATCCATTACAGGTAAGGAATAGGTCACAATACGGCAGGACTTAATTCCAGGGTAACAGAATCTATACTTAATTGTGTAGGTAACAGTGTCTAGAATCCACCGCCACCCCGCCCCCGCGTCCCCATCCCCACTCCTACCCCCACTCGCTGACACAGACACACACACACACACACACACACACACACACGGCCTTCCCCCTGCTTTGTCGGGGCAGCACAAGGTGGCTTTTGGATACAACCTAGACATTCTGCTTTTTCTTTCCTGTAATTGGAAAAGAGGGTTACCTCAGCAGGGAGCTTTCATGTAGCCTAGGCGCAGATCTCAAGCAAAGGATGAGAGAACTCCCTGATGCTCAGCGGTAAGATCTTTCCTCTAACTGGCTTCCCAACATAGCTAAAAATATACCGCATAAGGAGACAGTATCCACTCAGGGTGCGCCCTCATGCAAATGAGAGTGGGCCCTCACTGTGAGGGTAAGTGATTAGAAATGCTTTTTGATGCTGAAAACTGAAAAGGACAAAAAGACAATGAAGGTGAAAAAATTCAGGAGCTGGCCGTCTGAGTAGCTAAATGGCTAAATCTGAGAAATAAGGAAGATGTTTCCTCTGGCCAATTCTCCTTGTGAGATTCTTGAATATAGGAAGGCAAAAACAGCTCCTTTCACAACGGTAAACAAACTGTGACTACTACATAGTCAATCACAAGAAGTATATGGTAAAGTGTAAATACTATGTTAAGTACTGTTGACTTGTATTCATTCAATAGATACCCACGACACACAAACCACAGACAACAGTCTGTGATATAGGCAGAATGGGTCTTTAACGGACGTTTAATAAATGGTGATAAACTATATTCAATAAAAGATCCTTCAATTTAATTTGATTTCTTACAAAATACACAGACCCTCTAACTTACAGTCTTCCCTTTGAAAGCAAGTGTTCATCATTTGAAATAATGCCCTCTGCCCCTACAAACAAACCATTTTAGTATCAGACCAAGTTTTAGAAATTTTTATAATCTCGTTATATTTTCCCTCCCCCATTCCTACTTTTGCCAAGTGATCCACTTACTTTGCCTCTCGGTTTTTCCAGATAAAGTAAACACCTGAATCTGTGTGGTTCACACAGATGCCACAATTGAGCCAAGCAGGTAATAGTAAATAACTCCAAAAGGGAAAGGAGGCAAGTAAACAATGAAAAGCTGTAAGTCCTTTCATGTTAACATTTTATTTAAACCAGTACAAGCACCATGCTTAACAGAAGACTGTCCAAAATAAACATGCAATATGAACTCGCACAAACTGAAACCACAGCTTCAGAAGTTGTGCCAGCTGTTGATTTTGTTAAACGATGACAGGAAACTGTTAAAATTCACAAGACTAAACCATTAATGTTTCAAGCCTCCTGAATGAGATTACATTGGACCACCTAAATCAGTGGGGACTACCCTGGCATGTTAGTGATCTCAAACAATATTCAAGTAATTACACGTGTATGAACTATACTCCAAAAAGCAAGAAAACACAGTTTCTATCACAACCTTAATGTAGTTGTTTTAAATATCATAGGGAGATGATCACTGATTTGAAATGTCGAATGGCATAATAAGAAACAAACTTATCAAGAATATTCAACTTGGGAGCACTGATGTTAAGTGGCCTAAAAGAGTTACATTGTTCCAGAAATACAAAATAAGATTTGTCCAGAAATGTTTGAGACAATTCTTCACATAAGTTGTAAAGGCTCAAATTCTGTAGATTCCAGTATTATCAGTCTATTGAACAAACAGGGAAAGCAACCATACTAAGAATATCTGAATTGATAGATTATGAGTTACTCTCTACCTTCCACCAAATATCAGCATTTAAACTCTTATGAAAATATCTTTTCATCACTAGTCCACACTATGGATTAATGACATTGCTCGTGTTTTAAGGTAGTCCAGACATATTTTTAAGAACCCCTTCCTTACTATCTATATGAGTGGGGAACAAAGACAGCCAAATTTAATTTGGCAATAAACTCCTTTAACTGGAAAATTTTTAAAGTGTCAGACCAGGATACAGTTTATGGCTACGTTCGACTCCTGAAAATAGGAGACAAAAAGGGAGAGCAAAGTGCTGACATTTTGCTACGAAGATCATTTAGTAATGACAATACAAAATTCAGCAACACCCTCTTAAACAAGAGTATGTTCAACTGCACTAGGCATTTAGTAAACTTTTTAGAAATAGACAATTTGAACATTTATTTTAGAAGTCAATTAAACAAAAACAGCCAAACAACTTTTTTCCTAACATAATTGCTTCAATACCAGAACAAAGTGAATACTATTCAAAACTCTTTGACATTTTGGAATTTCAGCATAGTCACCTGAGAACAGTTTTCTTCATATGTCATTTATGTTGCCACAAAAACCATACTAAAAAACATGCTGTGATTACGAGTCAGTTCAATTTTGACATTAGATGCTATGCAGAACTTATACAAGGCCAACAATTTCAAAACTAATGGTGACTTAGAAGACCATGAAGGAGGTTCCCAGGAAAAAAGCTGCTGCCAAAAAGGAAAGATGAAGTTTGAATGCTGAATGGGAATGGCTGTGCCAGAAATGGAATGTAAAAACTGGAATTATAAAATCTGGAGTTACTATTAGGGAGAAGGCAGAAAAAGAGATTGAATAGGAAATATACTTAAAAAGAACAATGCAAAATTTGGTTAGATGAAAGGGAAATATATATAAAAAACAGAGAACACTCTAGGACAAGGAATCTATAACTCTCCCTATAGGACCAAGGAAGTGAAAAAAATGTTCTACTGATCCCCTAACCTCATCCATTGTCTTACAAAAATACATGTTATCCATAAGGAGTCAGACAAGCTCAAAAAAGCATGGTTTACCACAGCTCTTTGTCCCTGTTAGAGAACAGGGGACCTAAGAGTTCTGTGTATGGAGGTCAATATTATCTGACATTATGGAGGACCTTCCAATTAAATTAAAAAACAAAAAAAACAAAAAAACACCTAAAACATGCAAGACAAAATAAGGAACCTCACTAAAAAATACATTCTTGCAGCCCTAGATTCTCTTATTGCTGCGAACCTGATGAAACAAAATCTCATTTCCTTCATTCAAAAACATTAGAATAAGTGTCCAGTCATTTGGATTACATTTGCATTTCTGCAGAATTATAAGCATTATTCTCCAATATCAAAATAGCTGTTTAAAGAATTCTTAAACATCCTGGGTGAAGTTCTCTCTCTCTGGAAACTGGAATAAAGAACCCTTCCCATTCATTAACCAAAACAAATACCCCCTCTAGCACTTCCTCATCTCCAACTAACTTCCTATTGCTTCCTGTTTTTTAGATTAGTGAAGCCAAACAGTGTTGGAATAGAAGATTCAATATTGTGAAAATTCCAACTATCTTCACCTCTTTATTAAAGTTGGCACAGAAACCTTAAAAAAATGCAAAGCACATATGAATGGGAGATACGCCAACATTAAAAAAAAAGCCTTTGCTAGTTTTGAAACGATTAAGATATTCTTAATAAAAGAATTCACTCACCAAATCTGGGTAGTCTTTAGAGTCTCAAGACCTTTTGTCAAATTAATGTCAAGATAATCTTAAACAGTTACTCATATGTTTTTAAAGTACATTATATATCAGAATACTTGCTTTAATAATGCCAAGGATGCCATTATCTAACAAGAAGGTGTCCAGTGTAGAATATCTTCTGACATTTAGGATGTAAAGATGAGATTTCTATTGATGTGTTAATGTTATTAACTATGGCCAAGGTTTTAAGATAACCTTTTTTTTTCCTATGGCACAAAACTAATCACAAATATGCCCCAAATTATAACTCAACTGCCATATATTCACCAATGCAAGTAGATAGTTGGAATTTTTAAAATATCAAGTTGATTTTATTCCAAATTTCAGATACACATATTAGAAAATTGTTTTACTTGGACCCTTTACAAAAGTATTAATTTCACCAAATCTGGAATACTGGCAGTGTAAAAGTCTTAAACTAAATTTAAAGCTAACAAATCAAAGGCACAGTATTAACACATGTAAAATAACTAGCACTCACAGGACAACATTAAGAGGTGCTTTATAAATAAAGTGTTATTAACGGAGATTCAAAACTATCTAGAAATGACACAACCAGGAATGAGGCCCTTAATTAGTTACAATCCATCAATTTCTAAGACTAAAATGCTATTTTCCATAAGAAGAGAACCTAATAGTCATAACTTTATTATAAAATCTAACTTCCAGACCTTAAGAACAAGCAATTGATGAAAAGTTTCTGGACTTGATTAAAAGGATATAGAAAATTAAGAAGGCATGGAATTGATGAAAAAAATGCTTGTAATGCAGATTATACTATAGTAAGTTGTTATTCATGGCTCAAAACTGGGTCACTCAAGTCTTTTATCCCAAATTGATTTCAAAGGTTTGACAAGTGATAATATGCTATTTTCATATATAAACTGCTAATATCCAGTATTTGTCAAAAGGAGGCAACTGTTGTCTATCACAATCTAATACCCACTTTCCAATGGTGTCTGTAAATAGTAACAAATTCTGAACCATAAGTTGTAGAAATTAGTCACAAGAGTGCAAAAAGTCCCTGGAGAGAAGTAGTCCACCTAACAATTACAAATATAAGGAAACACTTTACAAAGTTTCATTACTATAAAGATGATTTCCTCTTTGTTCAAACTTTGAACAATGAAGAATTTTTCTTTACTGCAGGTAACAAACTGTAAATACCAGTGCATCTTTAGGCATAAATAAGTATTTATGTCTGGTTCCAGTATGGTCAGGTTAAAACATAAATACTTTAGAAACACAGAAGTTCACATTAGTGGAAAAATCCAAGTTTCTCACGTAACCATTCTTCAGTTAGGTCTTCGGTATTTCTTATTTCAAATACCTTAAGAAAAAAATCAAATATTTTGAATATTTGAGTATTAAATACCAAATTCTCCTTCCTTTCATGTCGGTCATGACTTAATCTGTGTAAATTAGATATACCTTTACGTTTCTTTAAGTGCTAGGGCCTCAGTTACCAAAGTTTAGCAATCAAGACAGCATAAAATCAAAACTTTTAAAAGCACAAATCTACAAATGTTCTAAAAGAGTAGTTCTGTAAATATTACCCACTAAAAGAGAGAGCCAAGTATACACACTTAAAATCAATCCAGTTAGGAACTGGAAGAGCAGGTGCTGATCCTTCACAGGTGGAGGGAATACAGCTGTTTTTATAAGGATAGATTAGTGGTCCACAGCCACAAATCTCTAGCCAGAATCTGAACACACACAGGCCCAGAAAGTATAACGGCTATAAAAAGACAATTTGTGTAAGACAATGTAATAGAGCAGAAAGGATGGGATTTGAGGCCAGATGAAAGTTTGAATCCTAGCTCTGAAATGTACTAATATACAACCCTAGGCAAGTCATTCATCCTCTGAACCTCAGTTTTCCCAGCTAAGAACAGGAGTTTCACCATCAACTTACAGAGCTGTGGTGAGGATTCAATCAGATTATTTGTAAAAGTAACTTGTAAATTGTAATGCCTTAATTCCAGCACTTTAGGGCAGGCCTAGGATTAGAACAGACATAAGCCTGTTAACAGAGCTCCTTCCTAACCACCCAATCCCCCTAGAGCAACTTCAGCATATTCCCGTGGTACAAATGAGCATAAGTAGTGTCTATAAGTTGGTGGTATCAATGACAATCATGTGGGCTAAAGGGAAAAAGCAGAGGGCACTTAAAAACATCACCTGGGTAGATAATTAAGCACCCAAGGGGAAAACCCTGATGCTCTCCTTAAAATAAAAACTGAAAGAAAATATTATTTAATACCATGCCAGTGATGTAAAATTCTATTTCAAAACGTTAAATGTATATACTTTTTCAACTCAAACTAATGCATGGAAGTTAAATAAAGTTTGAAACCAAGTACCACTCTTACCTTTAACCTTCAAAAATGCCATAAAACAATGGGAACATGTTAAATCTTGAAGCAGGTGTCTCATATGAAACAGAATGTTCTAACTTAATAAAGCTAATACGTATTCTTAAAATTTTAATTTTAGATTTGGAAACAATACAGTTAACTGCATAGCATGGAATTCCTGCACAGAATTTGGTTCATTTTGTCTATGGTAAAGGGCCCAGAGAAGCTTCAAATGCTGCATTTATCTACTAGAAATTACATTATGGAAGATGAAAAATTCTCAATAGATTGAGTAGTTTTCTAAAGCTGCCTATATTTTGAATATGAGTTCTTGTAATCAACTTATAATTTTCATTCCAAAAACACTTTTGGTTAAAGACTTCTAATCATTCTATTTCCAACTAATAAAAAGCTCTACTTTACTGCTCTGTTCTAAATAACTTTCAGCTACATAAAGAAATACTTAACTCTTCAGATTACTTGGGTATTGCTCTATTTACAAAGGGAAAAAATTGTCTCAACAAGTTAGTCAAATATAAATACCACCTTGGTGAGTTCAGCTGTTTGGACTAGCTTATTCTTACTCCCAGCATACATCATCTGTTGTTCAGGCTTACATCCTGGAAGAGACAGGTCAGAGTAGAAATGAGACTTAAATTTTGAAAGAGTGATGAGTTTTCATTACTTACTTCATAAAAATGACACATTTAGGATTTCCTATGCTATCAAGTTTACAAAAACTTCTGTCTAAATGTGTAAAGGCTGTATTTTGAGTCTTACACTGCATACTGCCTGCACAAAGAGAAACAGCTATATTACTAATGAACAAGGCTTTAGGTCAGCAAAAATAAATGAGGCTAGATCTCTAAAGATCTTGACTTTTAGAGCCTTGCAAATACTTTAAAACTTTTCAGCACTTAGTTTTGACGGTAAATATCAAGATGAATTTTACAAAGGCCTAATATATATAGGTTTGGGGATGCTGTTGGGTCAGTAGTGTCAGGAGATTGACTCTGAAAAAAGGTTACGGTCTGTTTACATATTAATTAAAAAATAGACTGCAGTATATTTTAAGTGCTACATAAATGATACAAATAATAAAGTTCAGGGAGGAGTTCAGTGAGCAGAAACTTTATTGTGGGCTTGAATGGTGGTGGCAGTGGGAGTTCTGGTGATAATGGATACTTTAAATACCAATAAGCCATTTTAATATCCAATGTAAGCTACTCTGGGACTATTTTCAAGATTACAGGCATATCACTGGTAACTACTATTTTAAAGATAAACACCAAACATATATCATAATCATACACATAGTTCACATACTTATAAATAAAATTAAAATACAGAAGAAAATGTACTTTTGATATTTTAAAATGTCATTACATTTTCCTTAAAATTAATCCCTTAAAACATCTGTACAATTTGACCTAACTACACTTCTAGGAATCTATCCTAAGAAAAACAAGTTCTAAGAGATGATGCTTTATAGTAACTTCTTTTCAGGGATGCATTCATGTGTGTATGTGCGTGTGCACATACTGCAATTTAGGTTATTCAACACTTTTCCTCCTTAAAACGAGCATAAAATTTGTCTAGTATAAAAATGGTTTAATTTGATCAGAACCAAATATGCACTATTTAAAGAAATTCACTTACCAACAGGACTAGAGAAAATAAAGCACAGAGGGTATGAAACTCTTCCATCATCATGTTGATACTTATAACTATATACAATGAAGGTTTTTCTCAAGTTAAGGAAACTAAAATTACTGCTCTGTTTGAGACAAGTACTTATCAACAAAGTTCTGAAAGAAAACACGCACCAGGGGAGCTAGTGGGTGGCAAATTTCTATCCTATCCATTTAGGCCACACCTTCATTATTCATTATCTTTCCACAAAATTATAAATGGGCCCCCCCACAAAAGTTATAACATCTTATACTCTCTCACAAATAAATTTATTAAAAGTATAGATTTAATATGGATTTTTTCTCTTTCTCAATTTTTATTATAAACATGTAATAATAAAAGGAGCTTTTTAAAAATAATATTAATTTTTTGGTTCCTTTCCAATACGAGCATACATTTTATTGAATAATTTGGTCACGATCATGGTGTAGAAGAAAATTTTGTAAAATATGTCTTTTAAAAGTTGAAAAAATGAACTTCATAAATAAAATGGTGACCACTTAAAAAAACCAAATCTTTCTAAAGCACTAAGAAAAGGATATCGAGGTTGTCGTTCAGGTAGTTCATCTTTAAGTTCATCTGGTGAAATGCCCTGGAACCATAAAGAAAACAACTTTTAAACATTTTCTTACCCATAAATTCTTAAGAGATATACCAAGCACATATTCTACTAATAGGTATAAATTCATAACCTTATACTACAACGTAAAATTTTATTTTACTAAATTGTACATAAGCTGAGGTTATTAAAACCTCAGTACAATGAAAGCCTACTCCAGCCCACTCAGTTTAGCTCTGTGTATTAACTAAACATGGGGCTGAGAGGCAGAGTAGTCTATGTTCATGTTCCAATTGTCAGGAAATACTGAGTTAGATAAGCCAACTCCTCAGAGCAACAACAATATCTGATTTAGGGGAAAAAAGTTAATTTCTTTTCACTCTAGTTACTTAACTTGACAAACTAAATACTTAGGTTAAAGGGCTTTAGTTTTTAATTACTGGCCAACCAATTTAGAAGCAAGTTATAAAGCTGATTCAGTTTTGGGGCTTCCCTGGTGGCGCAGTGGTTGGGAGTCCGCCTGCCGATGCAGGGGACACGGGTTCGTGCCCTGGTCCGAGAGGATCCCACATGCCGCGGAGCGGCTGGGCCTGTGAGCCATGGCCGCTGGGCCTGCGCATCTGGAGCCTGTGCTCCACGACGGGAGAGGCCGCAACAGTGAGAGGCCCGCGTACAGCAAAAAAAAAAAGTTGATTCAGTTTTTATCAGACATATAGCCCTAACTTCTACTACTTATTACCCTGGATTTCATTAATGTTTTATGGAAGGTGATTATATTAGCAAGACAATGCACTACACAATAATTAGCACATGCTTTTCATGCATAATGATCATGTCTAAAGGTTTAGAACTCGCTTTAGAAGTAACTGTAACTAATATAGCATCTTTTGGGCAATAATAATTGCTTAATGATAAAACTATATTTAGCTGATCCAACAAACCTCAAGCTCTTCATCCAGCACCACCAGGCGTTTATCCTTATCAATTTTCACTAAAATAAAAATATAGTATGAGTAAACTGTGATTCTGATGTGACTTTATCTACCCAACCCGCAGAGTCCTAGCCCTGTTTTTGGCATCCAAAATTAAAACAGGAAGAAACACAAGCATAAAACACAAGCTTGACTCTACAAGCAGTCAGTATTTAAAAGCTTTTACTCAGAATTCCCAGCACCTAATTTGCTAAGTTAGAACTTTATGTCAACTCCTTACATTTACTGTGTATATGAAGAACTTCGTAACTCAAATGCACTTCCTAGATGATAAGAAAAGGTCTGAAAAGGTCATTGTGACTGAGACTGGTTTATTGCACATGGTTAGAATTGCAAGCAAAACGTGGACCAAGGGTCAGGACAGAACCAGATTCCCAGCTTCTCCAGAGTCAGGATTTCATGGTGCAGTATGAGTATTCTGAGAAAGTGAATTACCAAATAGTAGTGATATCTCTATTAAAATACATGCAACAGAGCCCAAAGCCAAGCTGAAATATGTTTAGATAATCTATGCCTGCATTCTTTTCCATTACTCTGAAAAGTTATCCAATTTTTTATTTTGCACTAATTTCACAGTAAATCCTGTGAGACACAATATGATCTCAAATAGCTTTACTCTTTGTGGCAAAATGGCACTGACACACATTGTCACTCTTAAGAACTGTATGCCTACATTGTAGTATTTGTTTGTAAAAGAACCATAATTCAACAAGCTGGCACCACCTCATTAATTCACATCTGCCAGATGCATCTCTGTTAACAGTATATAGAGTTTTACATTCTCACCCCCTCATCCTTCCTTTATCTTTCTAAATCACTACCCACATATTAAATATTACCTAAGAATATAAAAGAAATCTGCATAACATCACATACAGTTCACAGTGGAAGAGGCAATATACAAATCATTCTTTCTACTGTCAAGAGTCAGTGACACTTAAAAGTACTCTCCATGAAACTAGAGTTCAAGTCTACAATTGAATTAAGACCTCAAATCACTTTGAACATAATGCTGAACTGTACCACTTTAGGTGTAGGCAAAGGTGTCTGTCTGAGGATGAATGGCCAGGCTATTTTTAGTCCCCTGAGAAGTTAAAGGATGGAGTTGGATGGGTCACTACAAATGACCAAGTGACCAAGAAGATGATCATCTTCTCCAGAGCTGTGCAGGCAGCTGAGGGCGGAGGCAGGACACTCTGCCTCTTCTGTGACAGTAGCTGTTACTTTTTAAAGTGACCTAACAGATGGGGGCTGGTGGGGAGGGATTAAAACTGGAGGAGGTAACTTTCTAAAGGTTCAGGTTATTCAATGTAGCTATAGGATAAAGCCAAACTCCAAACTAAGACCATGTAACGGAGACAATCGCTTTTAGCTTACTTATAATGGCAGCATTGTTCGTCTCTTTGCGAAAACGAAACTTTCTCAGCTTTTCCACTAAATCTTCAGCAACATCACAAACCACCAAAGACTCACTCTAGAAAAGAAAAAAATCATGTTATCAAATGTCATGACTTCAATATACATATCTACATGTTAAAGTTATAAAACCTAATACCTTTAAGAAGGTATACTGACACCTACAAATGTCATAATTATGTGAAAGTATTAACGTGAAACACATGAACACTTAAAGAGCTTTTAAATCTACCAAGCTTTGTATTTACATTATTAAATTATACACATTTGTTCATCTTATATGTAGGGTATACTTTCTCTTTGGCTACTAAATATCTCAAAGAACTAGACACATAATAATGTGCAATTTCATTAGAACTGTAGAGGAAGGGAAGAATAAGGGAAAAGTCAAGGATCACTGCTGTTAGAAAGTATAATATTTTTGCACTATGCAGCAAGAACAGGAAAATCATCTTATTACACTTAGAGTTAATAAGGCCTTAGTTCATTTTTGAGTCTCACAACTATGAAAAAATAAAAAGAAGCAAAAGTATGAAAAATAAACCGTAAGAGTAAAGACCGATTACATTTTATATCTTAAATGACTACAGGGATCAAAAAAAAGGAGCTATTAAGAATTATGAAAGCAAAACCAGATGAAACAAATATAAACACTCAAAGAACCTTTTATAAATTATGAAAAAATATTAGAAACTCTTCTCCAGAAATCTGGCAAGGAAATTATCAAAAGCACTCTTCTTTTAGTGGTACAAATGCACTATTGATTGCAAGCATGTGGATGGAAATCTTTTTCTTTAATGTGTAAACTTTGAACACATACAAAAGTAGAGAATAGTATAGTGAAATCCTATGCACTTAACACTCAGCTTCAACCATTATCAACACATAGCTAATCTTATTTCATCCAAAAACCTCAATACTGCCCCCATGGACCATCATATAGGAAAGGCCCAAAATCATTTTAACTATAAATATTTTAATATGTATTAATAAAATGACAGTATGTGCCATTAAAAACATAATGACAATAACATTATCTCACCTAAAAAAAAACTAATAATAATTCCAGTGAATTATTCAAGTAGAGTTCAAAGTTCAAATTTCTCTATTGTTTTATTTATTTTTTTTCTTTTTTAACAGTGAGTTTGATTGAGTCAAGTTCCAAACAAGGTCCACATTCTTTGGTCTCTTCATATATGGGTCTCCCCCCACCACCCACTTCTTCAGAAAATTAAAAGTGTTTTGAGACCAATGCCAAATACATGTCTCATAACAATCCGAAAGAATTAAGGCTTCAAATTTTAAGTTAAAAGGAAAATTTAAGGAAAGCCTGCTTTTTCATCCTGTGTTGGGTAAATAAGAGCATATGTTACAACAGTAAATAGCTATCAATTTTAAGTTGTCCTTTAAATTCATAACACTGGGACTTCCTGGGTGGCACAGTGGTTAAGAATCCGCCTGCCAATGCAGGCGACATGGGTTCGAGCCCTGGTCCAGGAATATCCCACATGCTGTGGAGCAACTAAACCTGTGTGCTACAACTACTAAGCCTGTGGTCTAGAGCCCACAAGCCACAACTACTGAGCCCACGTGCCTAGAGCCCATGCTCCGCAACAAGAGAAGCCACTGCAGTGAAAAGCCCACGCACCCCAAGAAGAGTAGTCCCCACTCGCCACAACTAGAGAAAGCCTGTGCACAGCAACAAGGACCCAACACAGCCAAATATAAATAAAATAAATAAATTTATTAAAAAAATTCATAACACCGGTAACATATAAGTTATGATATACCATAGGATGTACTATTTATACAATTAGAAAGTACATCCCACCAATACATATTATCCAATAAATTAGGCTCCTGTAGGAGTCATGTATGTCCATCCTTTTACTTCTCTTTAGAGAAAGAAATGCTAAGTCATATGGAGCTTCCTGAACGCAGTATTCAAGCCTAGTCTATTTTTTCCTATCTTTCAAGAAAGAGATATAAATCAGAAAATTAGAATTTCCAATCTTTCATCAACCAAAGATACAACCCTTTAGTAGAAACTAATAAATACTTTAGATTTTTGTAGGCAAAGAGCAATTTGTCATGAGTCTTATCTTACAGTTCTGATACCCAGGGCTGCCTGTGCAATCCTGACACTCTAAGAATAGTAAACCAAGTGAAAAACATGCTGTGATTTAATCTGTATTGCTTTTTTTTTCTTCATTTTCACCCCCCCAATACCTTAATAAGGCCAAAAATTCCTTCCTACCAGAAAAAGGACCACGGCTCAGCCAACTCTAATGCTTCCAGTCAATAGAAGCATTTAAAAATCAGTATAACACCCTGAAAACAACACTGTATGGTAAATATTAACATACAAAGTGGAGAATTGAAATCAAGTGGTCATCTATTGGATAATCCACACAATGAACATTTAATGAGTGTCAGCACGTGCTAAGTGCTAGGGATACAATGATATAAGATAAATAGATTAAAACTATGGGCCCCTCAAGGAGCTTATAAAGTCTATTAGAAAACAGATGTACATAAAAATCATCAGGTAAAAAAATATAGACTTGTCTGTACCTAGGATAAGAGCTAGAAAGGAGAGAAACTTGATGCTATGAGAACTTAGGACTAGTGGACAACAGCATGGTTACAGGAGACTTGCCTGAAAAAGGCATCTAAAGGACCAAAACTGCCTATGTAAAGGCCCTTTGATTAAAGTGAGCACAGCACATTTAAGATAACGAAAGGCCAGTGTGACTCAAGCACAGAGAACGAGCCGTAACACGTACAAGAGGAGGCTGGCAGGGGCTGGACCACATAGGGCCCAGTGGGTTATACGAAGTATTTTGGTCTCTATCCTATGAGCAAAGGGAAGCCACTAAGGTGTTTTAAGTAGGTGGTGACAGGGAAAGTGATCAGACTGCATGCAGGAAACAGGCAGAGCACCTGGATGAATAGACCAAGACTAGTTAACTGACAAGGCTAGTCCAGGTGAGAGATGAAAAGTAGCTTAGACAGACTGATGAGGATAAAGAGAAGCAGGTGAATTCTGTTAATAATTGTTAACGTGTATTAAATGCTATGAGAAAACACTGTGCTATGTACTTTACATGGATCTCTCTTCATCCTCAAAACAATCCCATTAGATGGGTATTATAGTATACCCAATAAAGTATAGTATATATATATATAAAGTATAGTATATATATATATACTATATAATATATATAATAAAGTATAGGATATATATAGTATATATATATATATATACACTATATATATAGTATATATATATAATATATAGTATATCCAAAAAAGATGGGTATTATAGTATACCCAATAAACTTATTAATAAGATTTAGAGAGGTTAAGTATATTCCCCAAAGTTATGCAACTAGGGGAGCCAGGACTCAAGCCAGACAGCCTGACTTTAGCCCACACTTAACCACCACAAAGGAGCTGGTGACAGACAATACTGAGAGGGGTGGATCGGTAAAAAAGGTGACCCCTAAGCTTTTTGGCTTGTTTAAGACTTAAACAGTGCTACCTTTCACTAAGTTAAGGAACACTTAGGAACACCAGGTTTGAGGGGAAAGAGATGAGTTCTATTTTGGACAAACTGAGGGGGCTTTGAGGCACTCAAATGGGGAAAAGCTTCCCAGGGGATGTTAACTAAATAGTGGGATATAAATATCTGTGCTGGATCTCAGAAGCAAGGTCTGCACTACAAATTCACAAGTCATCTACATATAGGTAAGTGGTAATTGAAGCTATGAGTGTAGGTAAGAAACGAAGGAGAAAAAAATACAGAATGTTAAACGAAGCATTAGGATGGAGCCTAGGACTCCTACTTGTGATGTACAGGATAGGAGAATTGCATGGGACACAGACAGACCAACAACAGGAAACGACGAAGGAGAAAAACCAGTTCTGTATCCTAGAAGCCAAGGGGGAAGCACGAGGGAAGAAAATGTTTCAAAAAGGGGAGCGTGATCAACACCCAGAATGCAGCTGAAAGGTCAGGAAACATGAGAATTCAAGAGTGAGTCCCTTGGATTTAGTGACCAAAACAAGATCTATTCGATGGAAGTGGGTTGAGCAATGAGTGGGAGGTCAGAGAATAGAACAGTGGGAGTTTTGTGTTTTGCTTGTAATTAAAGACACGAGAAGCATATTTTAAAACCCGATGGGAAAGATCCAGGAGATCCTCGTTGGGTAACTAATTTAATTCTACATTTTATTTTTGAGCACGGGGTCTAACCCATACGAGACGGAAGCCTTAACCCCCAGACCGCGCAAAACTAAGCTTTTGACAGTTACTTTAAGGCCAAGGGCCAAAGCACTGGGTCAAAAGATTTCCAACTGCCATAACTCGAAGAAAGCATGGATATAGGAGAAATCCTTAGAGGCAGGCCAGGGGAAGGAGGAAAAAGAAACTAAGGCGAGGCCGAGAGAATGGAGTCAGAATTCGAGCCCTCCCCCGCAAAGGCGGCCAGGCCGAAAGTGCTCGGCATCCGCCGGCCCTCTGGGCCTGGCCCGGGCCCTGGGAGAAAAGCCGGCGTTTGGGGGAGCCCTGGGCTGGGCCAGACCCACGGCCCCTCCGACCCTTCAGCGCAGCAGCACCTAAAGCCTTCCATCCAGAAGGACCCGGTGAGAATAACCCATCCCCGCTGGTCGCACCCTAGTCGCCAAGCCCGCTGGGCGATTCGACCCCGGGCCCGGTAGAAGGATGCTGCCCTTAGGCGAGGCGGCAGCGTCCGCGGGCGGAGGCCAAGACTCAGACTGGGGGTACCCACCAGCAGCCGGGCCGGAAGCGGCCGCCGACCCACCCCGGGCGCTGCCCGCCGAGACCGGTTCTGGCAAACAGGAAAGCCCGGCGGGCTGGCCCAGCCCTCCGGCCGGCCCCCACCCTCCCCAGCAGCAACTCACCATTTTCCTTCCGGCCGTCAGCAGCCTTTCGCCTTCCCTCGGGTCCCTTTAAGAATGGCACCACAGCCGCCTCCCTTCCTGCCCGGCGCCAGGCAGAGCCGCCCCCACCAAGCTACGCGGCAGCGGCAGGCCGGCACGTGACGGTGGACGGCGGGCTGCGCGGCTCAAAATTAGCCGAAACGCGAGCGCCCGCTTGCTCTTCAGTCACTGTAGAGGAGGATGCCCTGTCTGACTGGAAGTGGGCGACCGTGCCAAAATACACTCTTAAAACTCAAGCCAGTTTTTGCTTCCTTTTAACTTTCCTCAAGCTCTGAGATCAATTTCCTGGTGACATGATTAAGTCAACGATTTCAGTGGTAAATGTGTGCGTTAACCCTGGCTTCCCTCCCACCCTTTCCCTAACCCCGACTCCCACCACCTTCTGGGACTTGAATAATACATTTCTTTTCTCAAAGGTGTTTATTTATTGAAGTATGATTGAATGATGATTGATGTCTAGATGAGTGCTCTCATCTAGAGCCGTTGTCTAATCGCGCATTAAGAAGTTTCTGTAGGAGGTGCCGACTTACTGGAGCGAGTTTACTTTTTTTTTTTTTTTTTTCCCACCGCGGAGCACGCGCAGGCCCAGCGGCCATGGCTCACGGGCCCAGCCGCCCCGCGGCACGTGGGATCCTCCCGGACCGGGGCACGAACCCGCGTCCCCTGCACCGGCAGGCGGACTCCCAACCACTGCGCCACCAGGGAAGCCCGCGAGTTTACTTTTGAATGTGGTGGGGAAAGTAGTTTAGAAGAAGTAAAGTTCGAACTCAGAATTCATACAGGTGCCTTCAATGAAAGAAGCTGCCTGAGGCAAGATCTCACGGTGTTTACAGCTTATCCCCAACTGCTAGCATGATGCCCCATCCATAGTAGATGCTCAATTCATATTTGCCGAAAGAGTGAAAGAAGCAAAGAAAAAGAAAATTCCAGAACATGCTCCCACTTACATCCTTCTTCATTAGTATTAGACTGAATTATTAGAATTTTTAAAGTTTGCGTTTAATATTAAATTTAATGAATTGTTAGCATGTTAATAAGCATTAAATCAGAATTCAAAATATATAAATTAATTTGGTACAATACCTATGTTTTCTCATAAGTTAGAAAACTAGAAGGATTAGCTATAAGAAGTTCCACAGCTCAACTACATTCTCTTAGTGATCTGCCCCCCAGCCCCAATACTTTTTACTATGACAAGGGAACTGGTAAATTTGACATGTAGTACCATATAAGAAATGGTGGAAGAGAAAATGATTTTTACTGGTCCATGAACAGGTATATTAGACTTTTGCGGTGAGCCGGAGCCACTCTTCATCGCGGTGCGCGGGCCTCTCACTGTCGCGGCCTCTCTTGTTGCAGAGCACAGGCTCCAGACGCGCAGGCTCGGTGGTTGTGGCTCACGGGCCCAGTTGCTCCCCGGCATGTGGGATTCTCCCAGAGCCAGGGCTTGAACCTGTGTCCCCTGCATTGGCAGGCAGATTCTCAACCACTGCGCCACCAGGGAAGCCCCGTTATATTAGACTTTAACAAAGATTCTCCCCCACCCCCATCTTTTCCCATCTCTTCTCTCCACCTACAGGAGGGATTGGAGAAAAAAGTGAGAAAATTAACATTTAGATACATGACATTTCGCCTGGTAAATAGTAAAGCTGTTGTTTTTCTCTTTCATGTTGGACATTTCCCCTGGTAAATAGTAAAGCCGTTGTTTTCCTCTTTCATGTTATTCTTTTGCGGTACACGGGCCTCTCACTGCTGTGGCCTCTCCCGTTGCGGGACACAGGCTCCGAACGCGCAGGCTCAGCGGCCACAGCTCATGAGACCAGGCGCTTCGCGGCCTGTAGAATCTTCCCGGACCGGGGCACGAACCCGTGTCTTTTGTATCGGCAGGCAGACTCTCAACCACTGCGCCACCGGGGAAGCTCTTATGTTGTTCTTTTAATGTTTCCTAAATGTTAATGGCTATGAATTGGGCTGGTGTCATGTTAGACCCAGAGAGGTTGGGCAGAGTAGTACACTGACAAGAAAAGGATGAAAATGTGATTTATTTTATTATGTGGGAGGTGTAAAATGACTATAGACTATGTACAGAAATTTTACTTGAACTCAGTCTGTAGAATATTCTTTGAACCAGGAAAAAAAAATTACATCTATTTTAAATGAGGTTTGGGAATGCTGTTCTGTTCGGGCTTGGGTTATTCTGAGGGGGAAAAGTTCAAACTGTTTTCTAGCACTTTTCTGCCTGGGTAGCCCCTATTAAAAACTCAAGAACCTATAAATACTAAGCTGTGTTGAGGTCACTGAAATGTGTTTTATCTCAGGGAAGCATTTGATGTCAAGACAAGATCAGGGCCGAAAGGAAAGGAGTATTCCAATTAAAAATAGAGGGAAGATCAGAATTAGAATAATCTTTTCTGGCCTGAATTTTTCTAAGTCCTCCATTCTCTGTATTGGCAGCCATGCTAAAGTGTTTCTATTATTTACATATTCATTCATGCAACAAATAGTTATTGAGGACCCATTGGCTCTGTCCTGGTGCCAAGATCCAAAACAGACTAAAATCCCTACCATCCTAGAACTAACATTCTAATGGGGGGGGGGGAGGTAACAGACAATAGCACAGTAAATTAGTAAATATTATAAGTTAGAAGGTGATCTGTGCTGGGGGAAAGAATTGGAAAAGGGAGATTGGGAGTGCAGTGTATAAGGGATTTTTATTTTAAATAGGGAAGTTGTCCTAGTCTTCACTAGGAAGGTCATGTCTGAACAAAGATTTGAAACTGTGGGGATTAAGCATGTTGATATCTGGAGGAACATCCCACACAGAGGGAATAGCACTGAAAGGCCCTGAGGCAGAAGCATGCATGTTGTTACAGGGGACAAAACAGCAGTCAAATGACTGGAGTAAATTGTAGGTGTGGTCAGAGGGATTAGAGGGCTGGATTCTGTACAGCCTTGTAAATCATCACAAGGACGTGCCCTTGGAGAGATTGAGCAGGGGAGTGACGTGACCTGTTATGCATTTTAGCAGAATCATTCTTTTTAACAATTTTTTAAAATTAATTTATATTTTTAATCTATTTATTTTTGGCTGCTTTGGGTCTTCGTTGCTGCGTGCAGGCTTTCTCTAGTTGCGGTGAGCTGGGGCTAGTCTTCTTTGCGGTGGCTTCTCTTGTTACAGAGCATGGGCTTGAGGCACCACGCGGGCTCAGTAGTCGTGGCTTGCGGGCTCTAGAGCACAGGGTCAGTAGTTGTGGCACATGGGCATAGTTGCTCCGTGGCATGTGGGATCTTCCTGGACCAGGGCTCGAACCCGTGTCCCCTGCATTGGCAGGTGGATTCTTAAGCACTGCGCCACCAGGGAAGCCCAGCGCCTTGCAGAGGCATTCTGACTTCAGTGTCCTTCTAAAAGGATCCTTCTGTTGTGTTAGACTGTAGGGATAAAGTGACTTCCAGAGCCAGCCAAGATGGAGTAAGTAAGTTGCAGTCTTTCTCTCCCATTGATTACAACTAAAAGCTCTGGAGAGAATATGAAAAACAACTACCAGAGGACTCTGAAGAGTAAATAATAGCAAAATAGCTAGTGGATTGAGAAAGGAAGTGTTTTGATCACCTCTTCTTCATCCCGTTTGTGAGGGAGGGATTCTCTCCCTAGGATTATGGAGATGGCTGAACACACAACACCCAATACTGGGCAGGTGAAATTGACAGCAGTTTTTTAGTCACATACACTCACAGTCTGGGGGAGGGGAACACCAAGTGCCATGCCCTGGGGAACAGAGTGAACAACTAGAGGCTGTGGGAGGCAGGCTTTGTAGCATCAAGAGGGTGAGGTGTCCCCTGGTCCTGCGGGAGGATGTGACTGGCTTATTTGAATAATTCCAGGAGCTGGAAGGAAACTGAAACCCGGTACTCAGGGATAAGCAGGCACTGTGCCTGGTCCCCTTGATAAGGAGGGTTGTTTGGCTAGGGGACCTTGTCCATGGGAGAGGAGTGGGGATAGAAACTCACAGTTAGGTCATTCCCGATTTCAGCAGATATCAAGGCAACACATAATATTACACCTTAATTTTAGGCCTTACACAGCAGGAACTCAGAACTTGACAAATGACTGGTATTGTGCTGGTAAGTTTTCTAGTTCTGTTTCCTCCTTTACTGCCTGACTTGAGAGTGGTCTGAATCAGCGAAGCAGCGACAGCAAAACCTCCAAAAGGAACCCTTCCTTCTAGCCTGGGGATGGCGAAAAGGGGCCCCTGGGAAAGGAGAGTGTGGAAGGAAACTCCCTTTTTTTCCTCCTAGCCCTGCCCTGAGGGCAACACCAATCAAGTTGGCACTGTTACAGCAGGGCAGGGGCTCAAGCACCTAAAACCGTGGGAGAAAATCCATTTTTCTGCATAGAGGAATTTGGAAAAAGGTCCCTGTTATACAAAAATTGATGACGGTATCCCAGTTATTTTTTTTCTCCCTTTTCTCTTGTCACTTTAGCTGAAGGACAGGCTCAGTCACGCAGACTGACCCAGCAGTGTAGAGGGCAAATATTCTGGAAGCTCCTCATCTTTTAGGCCAGAAGAATGGGGAAAAGGGTCTCTGGGAGTCAGAGGGTGTAGAGGCAATCCTGAAGAGGAGAGACTGGGATTGACACTGGGCACATACCCAAGTTCCACATGTGCAGAACACACCCACAGGAGCATGGCAAAGACTTTGAGAGCTTAACTACAATATAAACCACTGCCAAGACTCAGATTAAGCCCAGAGTGGCTCATGTGACGAACAGACCCAAACAGCATAGTAAAGACATTGAAAATTGAGCTGCCATTCTGTATCCTGGTTGTGGTGATAGGAACTGTACACCGGACATAATGAATTTTTCTGTATTTAAATTAAAAATTAAATTTTTAAAAAGTAAAAAAAAAAAAGGAAGAACCAACTGTGGGAAATAGAGAAGCAAGGAAACCAGCCAGGAGTCTATTGTAGTAATCCAGGGAATACATGGCCTGGACCAAGGTGGAAACAGTGATTTGGTGAGAAGTGCCCAGAACTACTAAGAATTTTCTGTATAAGGGTT